AAGAAAATATAAAACTAATGCGAGAAAGTCCGCATCATTTTGTAGCATCTCTAGTTTTTCAAACATGACTTCTTTTGAATCAGTGCTTTTTTACCCACTTTCAGAACAGTTAATAAAGTTCATAGTCTTACAAAGTTTACACAAATGTTGAAGATGAAGTTATATTTGTTTAAGAAAATTCATTTAATTCATTTTTTAAAGTGGAAATAAGTGAGAGCCTATATTGTCACCTTCTCCTCTATAAATAAAAATATAAATACTTTCGATCTTGCCAAAATCAGATGATTGCATTTTAATTAAAAGAATTTATTAACGTAGATTTTAACATGTTTATCATACAGTATGTATTAGAGATCATCGAAAATAATTTTAGATACATCGAATAATTCATCGTGTAATTTATAATTCGGACAGTTCAAGTAACAATGAGAGCTGTCACCTTTGTGCTCAACTAATCTAATTAATAGCATTCAATAATATATTAAATAATTAACAAAATTGAAAACATTGTAAATAATTACAGCACAATTAACTTAAGGCATTCATATAAACGAATATTTTCCAGTTTATAAAATCACCCAAAATTGAGCCCCACCCCCAATAAAAGACCCGAAATATTGCCACTGATTGCTGGTTTGGTTGAACACAAACTGACGATCAGTTATTATTTCATATTTTAACTTTTCCAAAATTGAGATTAAGGGAAATTTTCGATCACAAACAAAACATCGAGAATAAAATATCAATGTTGAGAAAACATCGGCTTTAATAAATTGATATTTCTATTAAAACATCGATGTTTTGAAAATATTGATATGGATGTCGCATCCAGGGGGGAAGAGCTCTTGCGCATCGTATCCTATATCAGACGATGTGCTTCAGGCACCAATTACGTCACAATATTAGTGGGAATTTTAAATGTAGCCAGTTACCAAAATCATCACCTTGTTACAAGTAATTAAAACAGATATGTGAAGAATTTTTAATATTGCATCTTTTATTTCAATTACACCGTCGTCGTGTTACTTTTTGTTGAAAATTGACACTTTATACCATTTTGAAAATGATTCACAACACTTCTTGCTTTCCATGCATCATGGCGGCCAACGTCTGGTCTGGTTTTTCAAACGATGTGCTCATGTTGTGGTGACGTGGTTTGTGACGCAAACTGCTGCTGCGCAGAACGAGTAAAAATCGGTGCACCAGAGTAGCCCACTTAGCAATCATTATAAGTGTATTCTTACAAAAAATTAAAGAAGAAAATTGGAGTCATTTTTGAGCAAATTTTGAAAATATCCCAATAGTAGAGAGCAAATACTCTCAAAATAACCACAAAATTTATAGAAATCTTCAAAATCGCAGGGCTTCAAGTGGAGTGAAATGAATTGGGGAATATTCATTCTATGAAGTTCCTATGAATACTTAAGGTGCCAGTGTTGATCATGGGCGCCAGACGGACAGACGGACTGACGGCGGTAAGAAAAAAGACCTTTTTGGTACTAGGGGACCCCGAAATTGGTACGTCCGTTAAAATTTCTAAATAGATTTTCCGGAGTAACTACCTCAAAATAGATAACTTAACTATCTCTATACCAGTGGTGGAGGCTCAATGCATGCAAGTGGTGTGTTACATCCCCTTGTTTTCCATCACTTACAAATATTTTCAGTAAAGTATTTTACTTTCTTTTGTAAGTATCTCTCTTTGTTTCTCTATTCCCTCTCACCATTTACGTGCGCAGTCCACCCCGATGCGGCGAGCGGGGGGCAGACGGCACTACCGTCTTCCACCACACCTCATGTAAGTCTACCAACTATGCCTAAGTACATTTCAACCTGATTAAGTACAGCTCGATAACTCGATGTAGATTAAGAGGCGTGACTAAACGACAGCACTCTCTTCATGTTATAGTACGATTTATTAAGTCGTGCACTTGACATAAATCAGCTGTTGCGGTTTCATCCAATCGGGAGCTTCGCTACAGTGACATCACTATGGGGACGTTGAAGCTCCTATGAAATAGTGAACAGCCGATTTACGTCAAGTGCACGATTAAATAAATTCTAGTACAGGGAATAGTACGATAGGGATGGTCCGTGAAGGCGATACAGAGTGCGATGTTATTTCGTTCGTGATGTGTGCCGTGCGTTGTAGCGTAAATGTTGTTTCGTACTTAATGTGCGTTAAATTATCTACTTTGCCTAACTAGTGATCCGTTAAGGAAAATCGTGAATTCGAAATACGAGTAGTAACGTGAAAGAATAAAACTTTGTTGTGTGTGAAAGGACGCGACATGGCGAGCTCATCCTGATAATTTGTGGCAGTGGATGTGGCAACGAACAGTAGTGTAACGTTTCATTGAGCTATAGACAGGATTCTTCAAATTCCTTTTGGTTCTTTCTTTTATTTCGAAAAACTTAAGGTAACTAGTGATGACCAACCATTAAATACCACAAAACTGAAGAATTGTGATCATTTTAGTGGTAAAATATATCTGCTGATTATTGGATTTGTGGGTGTGAGATTAAATACAAAATGTATTGTTGGACTATTTTCGGTCGAGGCCTCAATTCACCAAGTCGTGACCGCTGTATTTGCCAGAAAACAGCGGCGAATAGATTTCGAGTTCAAAAATTATGTATTTTATTATGGTTCATTTTGTGGTTGTATTGTTTTGTTTATCTTATTGCATGCATTGAGAACTTGATGATTTTCAAGGACGAAGGTATATAAATTGCGAAATCAAATTCTAAATACTTCAGTGTTAAGTAGAATGACGCAGACTTTAAATATTTGGAATTATGCGTTCAACCTGTAATATCATGAGCGCAACCCCATGTCTAGTAGCCAGGAGACGCCACTGCTTTATACTATATATAATATTCCGTATATTCGTACGTAAATGACAGAATACAAGATAAATACATCATACATACAAATAATCACGTAAAATACAGTATTTCTTGAACGCCCTTTAAAATCAATCTCAGCATCTGGCTACCTCCATTTTTTGACTGAAGACATTTCAGTGCTTCTGATCGGGAGGTCCTAGGGTCGAGTCTTGACGGTGGCAGGATTTGTCAGGACAATTCGACCTATACAGCTAGGTCGAATTCAGCCACTGACTGGAGGAGATTTCTAGCGGCCCGTTGCTCTGATCGATAGTTTCCCATAGTTGCCCCGATTAACACCAGGCGAATTCAGGAGCAGTTCTGTAATAAACGGACCGCGCGCGATGTTTCCTTTCTCTTCCATGTGCGGTCCTCCCCCTTACTTACACTTACGTGTACTACACTGCCACACATGCTGGGAGACCAATCGGGAGCCGAGAGCTTCTACTGGCTGGAGCGGTGATCGGCTGGTTGGAGATACCTACTTGGGAAAAATTCTCGCAAGCCGACGTATCTCGGTGCCGGATCTCGCTAAGCAGAGTGGAATATTACAGACATCTCTCACGATGAAAACAAGAACTACACTTACGTGCCTAACGACCTCAGCAGCTCCTGCTCTCGGAATCATTAATCAATAAAAAATCTGTTTACTGACATGAAGTTTGCGAATCTAACCTTTGAGAGCATGAATCGCCTCTTATAAGTATCATACAAGTACATGAAAGTTTGATATCAGTATCTAAAATAAAGGATATTCGACTTAAGTTCAACTGCATGTTACCTACGGCAGATTGAAGGTTGTTGCAAGTGAAAGCTTTACCGATTCATGCGACGGGTAGATTAATCACAACAGTGAACATCAGATCTACACAGAGTCAAGTTTTCTTCATCCTCTTTTTTGGAGTTACAACCATGCACATGAAGATCAGTAATTTCGTAATTTCAAAATACTTGCGAGAGCTATACATTATATGCAACATTTCAATAAATAATTAACCTATGCTATTAATGTTGTACAACTTCCTAGACTTCAGAAATGTTGTCATGACATCATGAATCTTTTGTCCGCGCGAGTTTCATAATGGCCCATTCACATATTGAATTTCCAACGCTAGTAAGCAAGGGTTGCGATAGTGAGTCCCTTTTTAAAAATTATTTTTCGTAATAATAATAATAATAATAGCAACTATTATTTTAAAAAAATGTTGCATCTTCCTAACTACGCAACGAAACTCCTAACCTTATTGGGCGTTTTTATGAAGTAATCCTCTATTACTTTTTTGTATAGAAGTATAGGACCACCAGGTAGAATTTCCACGGACGCGCTCCTGCGTCACAACCCACGGCCAGTCTAGGAAACGTCACATGGGTTGGACTAGTCTCAGTGAAGTCGGGAAACTCGTTTTGTTGGAACAAATTTCATACGAGATTGTCCAAGTATCGAACCCGGATCTCCTTAGTATTTCGAGCACATCGCTCTGAGCCACGAGCACCTTCAGCCGACTCTAACCGAATCGGCCAAGCACTAACAACACTTGATCTAGCATCGAGCACTAGAAACAAGCTGTTCTCCAATTAGGCACAATACAACTTTCATCACTCACCTTTGTCCGCGTCACACCCACGTCTTAATTCAGCGTTCTCTTCCCAATATAAGCGTTGGGCTCCCATGCACAGTGTTTACGTGAGATCGATCATTGCCGCTAGGTGTCTACAGCGACTGCATGCCGACCGGTTTGCTCTTGGACTCAGGAGAGGGAGGAAGGGAAGAAGTGCGGATGTCGCAACTAAAACGGTTTATTCGTTTCTGGGCTCGTTAATGTACTCGTTCGTGAGATATAGTCAAAATGGAAGATATTCATACATTGTTTTAGCAGGCTGTACAAAGTGATAAACATCACACGTTGCGCGAAAACTTTTTTTCTTCTGGCTGGGCATTTTATAGCCAAGCGCGCAAGAATTGCAGTAATACCAAATACTATGTAGACAATACAGGACACTTTGAACATCTCTCATACTTTTAATGGGAGGCAACTGCTAATCAGCGAATCTAGTGACGTGACGTGGAAAATTGGCAACTAATTTAAATTTTAATACTTATACAATAACTTTCGAATCCCTCTGCGAAACTTGAGTAAATAAAAAATCTTTCAAACTTTTGCACTTCATACTTTGATATCACAATGGTTATGACAGGTCGTGATACTAGGGTCGCTTGCTTCAAGCGAGTCCGGTTATTTTGCCGTGTCCAGTATTGCCTCTGTGGTATATGGCAATTCTTTCGCGCCATTCATTCCAAATTTTTATTTTAATACTTACGGGACACACATGCGCACTTTAACACACGTTTGAAATGTCCGTTGCAGAATTTACGGGCAGGATTGGCGCATGGCACTCGAAGCGCGCTACGCGACATTGTGTTCTGGCTACCCGGAGGTCCGTGAAAATACGTTACACGACGCTCGTGTGCCTAAAGCCTTGGGTGCATTTAATCAAAGTCTCCACAGTCATAGAAACTTGCGATTCACCACAAGATAACTCAACGTATTGTTAAGTTTCGTTCTTTGATTTGAGAGTTTGCGTTTATATTGACCTTGAACTGAAAAACAATAGTTAAGGTTTTGCTTAATTTGTTGAATTTTTCACAATATCTCTAATCTGCAAGAAAGATGACTGTCGATGTTTCTAAGAATGTCGAAATAAATTTTAGCTTGTGTATCTTGATATTATTGCAAAACACTTTGTGAACTTTGACAATTTTAATCAAACGGATCTATGCATACAACTGCTAATTCAAATTTATTTCCAACATTCATATTTTATTGATTTTTCAAATCCATCCCAGATGTAAGCCAAATTTTATTCAATATCCCATCGTTATCTCATTGAAAATAATTCAAGATCTCTAATGCTTAATCTTTCACACTTCAAAATGACCTCATTGGAAAGGAATTTTACCTTTTTGTCCGGTTTCTTTGCAACATGTTCTATCAAGAGTAAACATAATTAAGCATTTTGGGATTGAGCACAATACAAATTATTAATCATTTATTCGTTAATTTAACATTATATACACTGTACATAAATCCTTCACATACACTGTACATAAATCCTTCACATTGTGAATTATCTTTTCTTTTTTCTCATTTTCTCAACAGCTGCCCATATGTCGTCTGCTAGCAATTTGGGCTCCTCGAAAGCAGGGAAGTGACCACCTCTTTCGAGATGAGAAAACTGCACCAATTCAGGGAATTTGTCGAGAACGAAAGCCTCGGGTATATACAGAGGTTCATTTGGGAAGTTTGCCATGGCGGTCGGAACAACACAAGGAACTCTGCGAAGGCAAAAGAAGGAGCATCGCTATCAAAATACAATTTTCAACATTATTTGGTTTTAAGAAAAACAAATTTGCATAACAAAAGTAACGTACGATTCCAATCTCAAAGCTAAATTATGCTTTGTAAACGTTTCGCTGTAGATTCGAATGGAAGTTGTTATGGATCCTGTAACCCAATATATCATAACATTGTCTAGTAGATTCGTCAAACTGTATTTCTTCTGCAGCCCACCATCCGGTAATGATCTCCAATCCATGTTAGTCCACGAGGAAAATTTTTCTAGGACATAAGCAGCTAACCCTGCAGGAGAGTCCCTCAAACCAATGCCTGGAAAAGAAATTCAGCTTGTAAACACATTGGGATCAAGAAACCGATTCTGGAATATTTTTCCTTACCCACGGTGTCCGGTTTGGTGGCTTGTATGTGGAAATAACCCGTCTCACCAAGCAAATTCAGGTAATGCTTGCTCACGGGATAGGCTTTATTATAGTGCTGCTCATCGACAAAGAGACTGGGGTAGAAACTAGCCATAAACATTTTCACTTTCGTGAATATAGAAAAGGTGTACATTGTATTTGTGTGGAAACCTAGTACGCTGAAAGAGAACATTTAAAAGAAATTAAAATCTTGTAAAAATTGGCGATCTTCTAGTGAAAAATCAAATAGATCGACAACCTTACGAAGGACAAGTTATTGTAAACAGTAATTTCCAAACATAGTTAACTTCATAGGCGTAACTTGGGGTTTCTACTCCCTCCCCACTAAAATGTAGGCAATAAAATAATTATAGTACTTTAATTATTTCAGTTACAATTTATGGCCTATAGTTTTAGTGACTTCAGAAGAGAGCAATGATACATATGTATGCTCTTATTATTTTACAATTTATTGTAAAAAAATGTTCGCAGTAAAACGAAGTCTGGTGTATCAGTCTAGCATCCTGACAATGTTTAAAATGGAAAATAATTCAGTTTTTATAATGATACGCTGGTAACATAAGTATTTAATATAGTGAAACTCTTACCATAAATAACTATTTTTCTATTCACCCCCTCTCCATCTTTAAACACGCTTAAACCACGCACAAACCAAACACTCAGCTACCCACAGAGAAACAATCTACTGAAACGGCTCGAGTTAGAATAGACGTTAGCCTGCGGTTGAAACAAATTTCTTTTCTTCCATAAGAAGACATAACTTATATTTATCTATCCGCAGCTGCCAGGCACCCGCAACATTTCCTTACGGAAAATTGAGACTGCGAAAATATATAGGGAACTGCCAATCCTAACGCGCTCGAGCAAAGCGCTGCTGATTTTCGTATCGAAGCTGGCAAACCGCAGTCTTGTGGTTGTTTCTGCTTTCAATTATAATTATGTTAAAAGAAGAATATCTTTTATTGAAATAAATTCAGTCCATTCAACTCGCTGTTTTCCTTGGGTAGTCTGATCTCCCCTCATTATCTACTCAAAATGAATTAAAATTAGTCTTCTCTAAATTTATTAATTAATTTTCTTAATTAATTTAAGAAAATAATTACTCACACTTTTCAGAACCAGATGGAATTGTTTCTTCCTTAACCAACAATCGACATTCTTTCAAATTATTAAACTGACGATCTTCTGGGACAGAAATATCTGAATTTAAATTATACGTTACCTTATTTGAATCGCTATTATGAGAACTTAGCTTATAATACAATTCTCAACAAACGTCGAACTCAATCAGTCCAACACAGCATCTACTTTCCCATTTTGTTCAATACCGGAATTTCATTTTTTTCCATTCTCGGAGATTGCAGTTTTTCTATCATTAATAGTTTACATATTACGTTAATTAAAAACACGTGTAACTTACCTCTGCGGATAAAGCGTAGCCATGGCCGAACCGATGACATGCCCCCAGTCACCACCCTGCACGTAGAACTTTTTGTGGCCCAGACGCTCCATCAGCGCACGGAAGAGAACGCCCATCTGCGCGGGGCCCAGGCCCGGCT